AGCTGGCCCATAATAATCTATAATAAGCTGGGGAGGCCACTCATCATCTTCCCAGGTACCTATCTCTAGGGGTGCCCTTTTCTTCCTATGATTTACATCATATACTTTAACTCCCAAAGTCTCTCCTGTTTCAATTGGCAACAAGAAGAAGGATGGTTTGAGCATACCTAGTACACATGCCCCTTCCCAGTCTTGTGGTAACTCCGAATATGCCATCTTAACACAAATCCAGTACAATTTTGCTGGGGCTCTCCAACTAGATGTAGCAGATAGGTCAAACCATACATCCTTTAAATTGGTATAATTTGCAAACGGATTAGACGGTTCTGAGACATTTGAAGCTGACCACCAAATAGTATCCTTTGTATCGTCATTATAGGCTTTCTGCCCTAAACAAGTCAATTCTCTTACAGATGTATTAAACATTATTCCTTTCCTTGCTATACAAACATAACCTATAATGGAGGTCTTTAATCACCACTCAGATTTACCCCTAACACTCACTTGATAATCAGATTGAGAAGATATTAGTTGTTCAACTGTCTCAGAACCAGAATACATTACCTCCTTTGCTTCCCAAGGCCATTGGTCTCCCATATTAGTACCTCCACACACATAGCAGTTGGTTACATTAAGACTACCAGCAATGCTCTCAGCTAGGTCTATGAATAAGTTTTTGGCATTATGGGGAACCTTATCTACCACACTCATCTCCTCATAAAAAGAATGGAAAACCTGATGAGTCTGGGGGCCACTGTATCTGTCTCTATTCCTATGTATAATATCGTCCCAGGATCCAAACCTGTTCCATATATTTGGAACCCAAATAGATTCCCAAACTTATCTATAAATAGCTCTGGGTCCTTGATAAGTATATGGACTGGGTTACACTCCATAGACTTACAATATGGCTTGGTAGGCAATCTAGTGATAATCATATCCTTATCTACTGTCTGTCCCCAGGTTGCCCATCCCACACAGGACCAATACGGACAATAATTGTAGTCTTTATTTAGGCAGTTTGGATCTATATACTTATGCTTATTACTAGGACAAATATACTTATCATTAGACCCATACGTTCTTTCCCATTTAAGACCACCACATACATTCCATGGCTTCCTACTATCTGATATTGCCTTACATGCATCAAATAGCAAAACACCTGGAGAATGTACGCTTTCTATTACTGTCTTATTTATCAGGTTCCCCTGTGCGTTTTCATTCCGAATAGTCAACCAAATTGTACGGGGCTGATACTCAGGATTAAAACACCTAGGTTCTCCTGCTCCTATATGGCATACACTATAGTCTGTACCTAGGTATTTACACTTTGATACATGTCCTGTGCACTCATATTGCGAATGCCAAATAAGGGTCTGGGAAATACGATTGCCTGTTTTCGTAGTCTTAATGCAAACCTCGCAGCCTGGTGTGTCGGAACCTCTACCTTCCTGAATAATTAAAAACACACATATGTACATCATCAAACACATTACTCCTGACATCTTCTTCCTAATTCTTCGACCGTGCGACGGCACCTCAATTTCCAGGCGTGTGAGGGCTGCAGGGAATGGAGTCCTTCTGATCCTCACTGTTCTTCACAGAGGATTCCTCTGGCTTAAACGTTGGTAGGTGGTCAGGCTTTATTGTGGCCGTCAAAACACCTACTTGTAGATCTTTGTTGATGTTCCCTTGTAACAATACTCTTCGCAAAAACCACTTTTAATCTAACTGGGTCACTCGCTTCAACCGGATCTTGCAGGGATTCTCAGGATCTTGAGTAGCTTGCCAAGAATCTGCTGCTGGTTTAACCCTGGAGTGATGAATCCACGGAGTCACCTCTGCCACCTTTATAGCTGTTGGAGTAGACAAAAGAACAGCATAAGGACCCCTCCACTTTGGCCCCAACGGTACACTGTTCCACTCCTTTATCCAAACTTGGTCTCCTGGATGGTAAGAATGGACAGGTGGATAAATATTTACAGGTAACCTATCTTGTACCCATTTCTGTACCTCCTCCATAGTTTTACCCAACTCTACAACCTGCTGCCGAGTAATTCCTTCTTTCACATAGCTACTACCATCCGTATAATACTGTACATCCGGGTCCTGAATGGGAAAGTCATGAAGGTCCGTTTGGCTTGAAAAACACCTCATCCATTATCTCCAAACAATCATGTTTACTTTCATTACGTTGTGGCAAAAGGGTAGCTGGGTTCAGGGTATTAAGTTTCACATAGCATTGCTTGATATTTAGTCATTCGGCTATTGCTAAACCAATGATTACCTTTATAGTCTAGCAACATCTGTACTGCGTGCGGGACTCGCACATAGAGTTCCTGACCCAGAGTGAGCTTGTCAGCTTCTGCTACCAACAGGGCGGCGGCAGCTACGGCCCTTAGACAAGGAGGAAGACCACTGGCTACTGCATCCAGTTGTTTGGACATATACGCAACAGGTCGTTGCCATGATCCCAGATACTGTGTCAGTACTCCCACAGCCATCCTTCTTTGCTCGTGTACATATAAGTAGAATGGACGTGTATGATCAGGTAGACCTAATGCGGGGGTGCTCATCTCATCAATGCCTTCTTAACATCCTCAAATGCCTTCTGCTGTTCGATGGTCCACAGGAAGGAATCATGTTCCGTG